ATAAAAATAAACGTCGCACGCTTCGAAATTGGGCAATGCAATTGAACGAATTGAGTTTAGCATTTGAAAGGCCTCGAAACTTAGATGGTGACAGATCACTTAATGACACTTTTGCCGCCGACAACGGAACGTGCCGTAGAACACGAAGTCTTTCAATCCAATCTCTTGGCTGAATGAATAAATCGCGAGCATTACGCTTTTTTTGCACCTTCGAAACCAGAAAACGGTTAAGCGGTTTCACGAAAACGCGCGAATTTTTTTGAACGAAGGGTCACAACAGCCGCTCGACGACTGACGTTGAATTTGAAAAACAAGCTAACGAGATCTGGAGCTCTGCTGGAATTCGAGCTGTCGTCGAAGCCATGACAACCTTGTTCTTTGGGAGAGAAAGATAGCCGGGTTGAAATATAAAGAGAGAACACACCGCAGGCACGCGAGTAATTAAATAACCGTAAATTCCACCGGCTAAGTGGTTATGGCGAGCTTTGTTTGCTTTCATAATTTGCAAGCTTGTTATTGGACGGGCCTTTGAACACATGTTCACTGCAAGACTGGAAAAAGCTTTGGCAACACGGTGGTCACGAGACCGAAATGCGCGGCTTATGCAATTAGTTAAGTCAATGGCTGAAACAAAAACGCGCAAATTTTTTGTTTAATTTTCTTTGTAATTATCTAGAAAGGTGTGGCCACATTTTTTATGGATTGTAAAGCTCACAATATAGCTAAGATTCGACCCAAATATGAAAATAAACTGAATGACATTTTTATTTCAATCAAGTATTGACAAATATTAGAAAAATTTTTAACGTACTTCTAGAAAAGTTCATGGGTCGGAATTATTCGAAAAGGCAAAGCGCCAGCGAGTTAACGCGTGGAAGGTAAATTCATATGGTAACTCGTTCCTCCTTTAAGAAGAAGTCGAGCAAAAAGTCGCTCGCCTTGCACTTCCGCTGGTCTGGAGCTGTGTGCTGAGCAAAGAACATAATGCCGGTTCCAGAAATTCGGGAACCAATGCGACTACCACACCTTTTGGAGCTGTAAGTGGGACAAGTTGATGGTTAGGCGACTGAAGCTTCACCGAGGCACTTCACTATGATCTTGTGCTCCAGCAGCTGGTGGCGGTGTGCGCCTGCGCCGAAAGCATATTCACAAAGTGGGGTGCCTTAAAAGCATAGATACGTTCTCTCCTACTAACCTAGGATCCAATTGTCCAGATACTTTTCCAGCCAACATCGATCCTATTGACACCAGGAATGGTTTTCGCCAAAGACCGGTGATCTTTGCGCGTTTTCATCTCTATATCTGGTTCAGGCAATTACAATTGCGTTTGGGCAACAAGAACTTGAGCGTACCAAGCTGAGGCTACCGCAAGGGACGGCTGTATCGAGGCCATGGTGGTGAGATCCCCTGACAGAACAATTTCATCTTAAGAAAAGAAATCTATTCACAGTCCCCAGCTGACAACGTGAATGTCTCGAAACAATAAGTTTTCGTAAGTCCAACATTGGTGATAAGGGATGCGAGGTGGTCTGCAATACAGCCAAGTACCTGAATTGTTTGGAGGTCTTCGATAACTGGAGTGCGGACTTACGTCTAAGGGAGCAGAGCATGTGGTCAATTTGTTTGGTGGTCGGTGGATTATTAATAATCCTAACCATTTCTTGAGCCATGAGTAAAAACCGTTTCCTTTCTCAGATGCAAAAGATCTCTCGTTTCACGGAGGGTTGAGAAGTCACTGCCACTGGAGGTGGGGAGGGAACACGATTGGGCGGACTTCGAACGGTACTGCTGGTGAGACAATCTGGCAGGTAGGGAGACGACGCATCCGATGGATGACCGAGGTCCCAGAAAGAGGATGCCTGATACAAAGAGGTAATAAATGTTAAGATTAATGATACCCGTAATACCATTTAAATACCCACAGAAATCGACATGGATGGCTGCGATTGACAACATATAGGAGCCAATCTTGATTCTCGACTGTTGTTCGAGCGAATACAGCGATTGCGGGAGTTTAGTAAAAGTGGAATAACGAGGGTGGCAGTAAGTTTCGCAGCGCAGCATCCGAGACCATTTGGTGGACCACCCGAGGGAGAAAGAGAGCCAGAGTACGGACTTAAGCTGTACAATCTAAGTCTGCAGATCACCTGTACAAGAAGGTAACGGGTTTCCCCCAACTGCTGGCCCACACTAAGGTTTTGGAGGAGCAGCTCTTTGAGAGGACGATGCAAGAAGGCTGAGAAGTTAAAACGAGAAGCTTAGCCACCAGCTTATGCGATCTGGACTCTAACCCCATCATCCATGAGAAGGTCATGGAGAGGGGATCCCACACGAACTTTCTCGGGAGTACGTAGGAACGGCATGAGGTTCGTCCAGAGGTGACCAAAGAGTGAGTTTATGAAATTATTTATTGATAGGGGAAGCTGATCAAATTTTCTTTTCAGGTCTCAGAGTTACCGCCAGTCGCAGCCTCAACCGGTTGGTGAATAGTGCGGGTGACAAGACCTGATGTCTCACCTCGCAGCGGAATAGTCACTTTGGTGGAAGGAGCAGCAGATAACAAAACTCCTCACGCATGCAGATTAAGATCCTTCAATTGGAGCAGCAGCTTAGGACTCTTGTGTGAGGTGCAAGAGGAGGAGGAAGAGGAACTGGAGCCGGAGCAGGGAGCATGAGCGCCTGGGGAACACGCACCGGAGTCAGAAGTACAAATCGAGGAGCAACAGTACTAAGCCAGCAACCAATGTCAATCCCAATGCAGCGCAAACAACTCCAAGTGCGCAAGGTGCGTAGCGAGATGAAGTATGTGGAAAATAATCCCAAGGAGGCTACCACAGAATCGGGAATCCAAATCGGATCATGAGTTTGCCAATGAGCGTGATGTCGTGCCCTTCCGGTACCTTTAATTTTAAAGCAAAAATACTAAACCTTGTTGCAGTTCAAGCTTAATCCTGCTGTCCAATTTGAGACGGACATTGGAGACAGTACGTACGATGGTTAATTCTGGCCAGCGTTACGAGTGTGAAGCAGAAATGGGATAGCCACAACTATGAACAGGCCAGCCAGTAAAACGGGGGCTATGAGAAAGGTTATTATGGGCTGGGAGACGGTTCCTACAGAAGACAGAAATCCTCCCACCTTGTCGAGGCTTTAGTTCAAAAACGCAGAGGCGGTTCGGGCGATGGGAGCGGCGCAGTTCGTCAGCGCTTTTGGAAAGAAAAGCGAACGGTGGAAATTCGGCAAGAAACCGCCAGAAGCCCCGGACCCGAGAGCAATCGTAAGGTTCCCATCAGCGATGCAAATGGAGTCCGCATATGTCCAGCTACGAAGAGCTCTCCTCCTCTACCGATGTTACGTTGGAAAACCCGACTACGAGGCGGATACCACAGACTCCACGTTACGAGGTAGCTCTAATTATTCTTCCATGCAGGTATTTGTACGGCGCAAACACTCTGAATCCTTTGTCGCTGGCTGAGGAGAGTCCGGCGATTGGGATGCGGCGGCGGTGGTGATGGGCGGAGGGGATAATGGCGACTCAGCGCTTTTATCCCGCGCGAAGTTTCACCTGTCCATGCAGCACACGAAGCAGCAGGAACAGAGCGTCTAGGTTTTATCTTTCAAAATCCCAGCAATCTTCGCAGTAAAAGCAGCGACACTCCCGCTGGATCTTTCAAAAACAGTGTCACCATATACCAGCCAACCTCATCTGATGGGATCCCATTAGAGCTAAATTTGCAGTTGTACTCCCGTGCACTCGGGTACAAAAGAAAACCCCATTGCACGTGTCCTGTTCCCTGCGAATTCAAACTGCGCCAAAATGTACAAAAATATATCCTAATCTTAATTACCATTAAAGGTTTGCCATTTGTGTGCTCACTAAGCGACCTCCGTACATATTTTAGGGGGTCGATCAAATTAAAATGTACTTTCGTTTAAGGGTACTTAAACCCATTTTTGCTTATAAAATACCTCGCCCTACCAGTGATTTCTTATTTTTTGTAGTTTCCCTTACGCGATTTTTTTATTTATTTTATTTCGTATATATGTATTTGTGGAATTATAAAATATGCGTCTGTTTAAGTTTGTGTTGAAATACTATTGAATAAGATTCAATTGGATCAAGTAATTTGAATGTAAAGTTACGTTGGGTCCGCTTGGTTATTTATTGCAGTAGGGAGCTGGCGAGCTTAACCGCCAAAGCCGTAGAGGGTGCGTCCCTGGCGCTTGAGAGCTGTAGACCACGTCCATGGCGGTCACGGTCTTACGCTTGGCGTGCCAGTGTAGGTGACAGTGTCACGGATAACGCTCTCAAGGAATACTCTAAGAAATCATTTATGAATAAACTAGTTTTCCTTTATTTTCTCACCTTAAAGCTTACCTTAAGCACACCGCGAGCTTCCTCGTAAATCAAGCCCGAGACACGCTTTCCACCCGCGACGGCCAAGCGGCTTGAATAGCGGCTTGGTGATACCCTGATGTTATCGAGCACTCCACGATGACGCTTGGCGCCCCCTTTCCCAATCCTTTTCCTCCCTTCCACGTCCAGTCATTTTTCAGTCGATTTGATTTGCTTTGTGAAATTGGCTAAGAAAGAGAGAAGACGCAATTAACTGTAAAGCGACGCCATGTTTGGTGGAAGTAAGGGGTAAGTAACAGGTAAGCAAACAAGGAAAATTTTCAGTACAAGGTAAATTTTAATATGAAATTAATGTTTACACTTTGCTGGTATATTTTTTTTATAAACAAATGAATTTTTTGTTGTTTATTTTTCATTATTTACTTAAGTTTTTCTGCCGCAACACTGCCTTTAAGAAAAATCCAGAACTATTTTGTCAGTGAACAAAGTTTGCGTACCTGGAAAAATACCTGCTTTCAGAAACCACAATGCTTGTATTCATTATTTTAGTATTTTATTATTTATGTGTAACCATCCCTGGTTTCTTATCGGTAATCGACCATCACTATCGCCGCCCTGTCAGATAAAAAAGTAACCGTGAAAGATGCTTCGCGTAAAAAACACCTGAAAAACAGGCATGCAGGCCTTTATAACGGAAAGTGCAGCGCCTTATTGTATTTCAACCGTAGTCGAAGCAAAGTGCAAAAGAAACAAAGTGAAAGTCAAGGAAAAGCCGCGAAAATGTACATGCAAACGGCGTGTGGCCAGCAAATTCGCTGCCGAGGCACCGCACACACACTCGGTCACCCCACACATACACATCTTGGGTTTTATGCATTAAAAAGAAGTGCAGACAGGAACTGTGCCAAAATATAAGCAATACTCCACCAGTAGCCCTTGCAAGTATCTAAAAATCATTCGTTACGTATACGCAGTGCTGAGTGCTGTAAACAAGTTGACTTCAGCGATAACAACAATGTCCAAATACGATCTGTTTTATCTAACGGCGCAGCTAATGCTGGTATGTATTTCCTTGCGTGTGGGTGTATACTTATTGGCGCCTTAATTCCCAGTCGCTATTGCATATAGTACTATATTTTGTCATTATTTCTCGTCATTCTGCTGTAATATAAGCTGCCTTCGATTCTCCACTTTCATATTTCCATTCGTGCGTGATTTTCTACAACGTATTACTATTTACTTTATTAATATCACATGGCGCTTAAAAGTGATATCGGGTGTTTAGGTTTTCTGACAGATAAGGTACTTATTTAAAAACCTTGAAGGGATATGTAAACGTTTTTAATTTTTAAAATTGGAAATAAATATATTAATATTCAAAGCGTAAAATTGATTAAATGGAATTTAACGTAAATAAGTATCTACACGATAAAAAACTTATCACAGAGCTATTTATAATCAGAAAAATTTATTAGCAAAAGCCATAGTTTTATTTTTAATTCTGAAGATACTACAAATTTAAATACATTTGTAAAAATGTATTAAAATGACAAATGTATATACGGTAAAATTACCATTTCAAATGAATGATTTCCTTATAATACTGGGTATTAATTGATCGAATATCAAATTCCCAATCTTGATCCATGTGTGTGTGTACGCTGAGCATTTCTTTGAATGGATTTTGCTGCATTAGGAACTTGTTGTATAGCAGGTTCTGGTTTCTCCCTCCCTCTGGCTTCTCTCTCCTTTACTATCCCTCTCTCTTTCTGTGCCGCAATGCGCTCTCTTCCCTGTTGCTGTTGCTGTTGTTTCTGCTGCTGCTGTTTCCTTTTTCCCCACAAGCGCCACTTTAAACCCATCCCTTTCTGTGTGCATAATGTGCCTGCTTATGTATCTACTTTACTATAAAGCATGCACGCTTACGAACACACACACACAGCCAGCGATCCGATTACCCGAAGGACAGTGGGGCGAAAAATATGATTAAGGATAAAAGAAATACGTTATAGTGGTCAATAATAAATTAATAAGTTAAGTCCATTAAAATAATTTTATTTTCATTTTCATTGTAATTGTATTGATTATACTTTAATATGACACCATCGTAGAAATCGAATGCAAATTAAAGTATAAACGGAGAGAATTCTGATTTTATGATAACCTCATAACCTTTATTTTTAATTCGGTAAATTCTACCTGCATAGACTCTCAATTATGAAATCATTAGTTGAAAATTTAATTAGCTGGTGATAATTAATGTTGAGACCATTTAAATTAGTAAAATGTGTTATGACTGTCGTTAAATTAGAACATCTGACGTAATGATAGCTTAGGCAATGACCACTGTGCACTGCATATCCGTGCATTGGGGCCATGCCCACTCAAAGCCTGGTGTGTGGCCAGTGGGGCTAATTCCGTGCCCAAATGGGGTGGTTAATGGCACATGCCCCAGCTTAGGACCCGGACTCCTACTGGTGGGCATGCGATATGTGTACAAAGGATAGCGCCCACAAAGAGCTCGCTCAGCGCCGTTCCCTCAAAACCCATTCCCCAAATAGGCTTGGCTTTATTTGTCCACCCTTTGGAGCACTTCCAACCGATAATTCCATTAACTTTGATCTTTAACCAAGTTTACGCAATGGCAGGTAGTGTGAATTACTTGTTTTAAAATTATAATTTTATTTTATTCGGGTTTTTAACTTATAGTTTATAAAATGTTTTATGTTACCCATAGTTAATATAATATAATAATAATAAAAAATCATACTAATCCTTATATTCCCTCTTTTTAGTTTGCTGCCTAATTGGGATTCAAGGATCTATCCTTCCCGGAATACACAACAACATAGAATGCGAGCATTTTGACGAGAAGATGTGCAACACAACGCAGGAATGTGAAACACGGGTCGAGCACTGTGAGATGGACGGGAATAAGTTTCCTAGCTGCTATGTCCTTTGGTCGGTCAGCGAGACAACGGGTAAGCCGGGCAAGAAATTGAGCATTTTTAACCATACTGATTGATTTGGTTTCTCTTTTAGGCGCCCTGCGAATAAAGATGAAGGGGTGCTTCACTTACATGCATGAATGCAATCAGACGAAGTGCGTGACCAGTGCGGAGCCACGGCAGGGAAACATCCACTTCTGTTGCTGCAAGGGATCGCGCTGCAATTCCGACCAGCAGTATATTAAAAGCACGAGGGAGTCAACCACACAAGGTGGGTTCGGTTTCAGATTCGGATTCGGATTCAGTTTAGCATTTGCTGCTGCTGCGGGGATTTGTCTTTGGAGTGTTTACCCCAATTTTGTTATTTTTCCGTTTGCATATATATATTTTTTTGTTTATTTTTTTACTGTTTTTTTTTTTTTTGTATTGCATCTTCAAGTTGCAAAAAGGAGGCGTACGGTTCGCCTACAAAATCCCTTTCTTGCCATCGGAGGCAACGTTTTTCGTGTTAACGAACTCTCGACGCGAAGTGGCGCCCGCTCCACCATCATTTTCTGTTTCCCCAGTACCGCATCAACCCCCTTTTAGAGCCGCATGTGTTGCAATTTCTGCCCTCCCGTGCACGTTCGTTGGTTCGTTTTTATTTTTATAGTGAGGTACTTCGTAAGCTATTGGGTATAATGATTTCGCTTGGAAGGATGCAACATGGTATTTCAGAAAAGTAAAGAAATATGTAGCCAAACTTGAAACTAGTTTAGGGGCTTACCTGGATTTTTAATTAAATCAATTTAAAAAATCGATTGTTTTAAATGCAATTACCAGTTGTTAAAGGTCTTTAAATCTTTTTTTTTCATCAAAATCCATGTATCCATGTTTTAAAGTCTTCAAACTCTGTTGATAATATCTTGTACCGGGTAACTCAGCGTCGTTTGACTCTCCTTTAGCCTTTCTTGTTTTTATTTTGGGGTGTTCCTGCTGCCTTTGACTTCGGAGCCCTGTGCTGTGCCAGGGCGTCTTTTGTGCCCTGCTCTTTGTTGTTTTGTTCTTGGGCCTAGCTCGCTTTTATCTCGAAACAAAATGAGGGGAAAAAGAGATGCGAAATTGGGGGCGAACTTTCGTTTTTTGGTTTTCGTTTTGCCTTTGATAGCAACCCCAGCAGCTGCAGGTGGTGCATGCTGCCACTCGAGATGTTGTTCACCTGTGGCAAGGCAAGGCAAGGCAGCGTTTAAAGCCCTCTTTAATGTTCGTTCCCGTGTGTGTCCTTGTGTCGTTGCAGTGCCCAAGGAGAAGACCCAGGATGGCAGCAATTTGATATATATCTACATCGGTACCTCCGTCTTTACCGTGCTCATGGTCATCGTTGGCATGGGCCTGCTTCTCTACAGACGCCGCAAGCAGGCGCATTTTAACGAGATACCCACGGTGAGTAGTCAAAAGTTGTTTCTACAAATTAAAATTTTAATTATGATAAATTAAACCCTTTAGCACGAGACGGAGATTACCAATTCTTCTCCATTGCTAAGCAACCGTCCTATTCAACTGCTGGAACAGAAGGCCAGCGGAAGGTTCGGTGATGTATGGCAGGCCAAGCTGCACGGCCAGGACGTGGCCGTCAAGATCTTCCGCATGCAGGAGAAGGAGTCTTGGACCACAGAGCATGATATCTATAAGCTGCCACGCATGCGCCACCCGAACATACTTGAATTCCTGGGTGTAGAGAAGCATATGGACAAGCCAGAGTACTGGCTGATATCCACTTACCAGCATAACGGATCACTGTGCGACTATCTCAAGTCGCACACTATTACCTGGCCAGAGCTGTGCCGTATTGCCGAGTCTATGGCCAATGGTTTGGCTCATCTGCACGAGGAAATTCCGTGCTCAAAGACAGATGGTCTCAAGCCCTCGATAGCTCATCGGGACTTTAAGTCAAAGAATGTGCTGCTTAAAAGCGATTTGACTGCTTGTATCGCTGACTTTGGACTGGCCATGATCTTCCAGCCGGGCAAGTCCTGCGGTGACACACATGGCCAAGTGGGCACTCGTCGTTACATGGCCCCTGAAGTGCTGGAGGGGGCTATTAATTTCAACCGTGACGCCTTTTTGCGTATAGATGTATACGCCTGCGGCTTGGTCCTTTGGGAGATGGTGTCACGATGTGACTTTGCCGGACCCGTTGGCGAGTTCCAGCTGCCGTTTGAAGCAGAATTGGGCCAGAGGCCCACGTTAGACGAAGTTCAGGAGAGTGTGGTGATGAAAAAGCTGCGCCCACGTCTGCTCAGCTCCTGGCGTGCCCATCCGGTAAGTTTAACTTCATACTTTTTTTTTTTACTCAAATTTAATAATAAATAATATGGTTTCTTAGGGTCTTAATGTGTTCTGCGACACCATGGAAGAGTGTTGGGATCACGACGCTGAGGCCCGTCTGAGCTCATCGTGCGTTATGGAACGCTTTTCGCAGCTCAATAAGTATCCCTCGGCACAGTTGCTGATCAAGAACCACACCAACATTGACGACGCCAAGGAGTCGACAAACTGCTTATAGAAGCGGTACTAAGTCACAGACTAGTTAGCAGTACTGTGGCTTATCAGTAAATCAGTGAAAGCCTTTCGCTTGGCAGAAAATATATTATAAGGAAGCGCGGACGAGATTCGTTTGTAGTTTCATAGTTTGTAGTACCATCATCAGCAGCTATAGCTCATATTTAGTAGAGTGGGTCGATTTATAAGAAAGAGGGTAATTTTAATTGTTTTTTTTTCTTCAAAATTTAAAATCGACCCATTTGACATAAATCGTGATCTTGAAACCGTTGGCAGCCAAGACATATATAAAAGAGGAAAAAAACTGAACAAAGAGCATTAGACGTGTCGCTATGTGCATAGATGTGTTAGTTACTCATCCAACATTGACTTCATTGACTGATAACCGTACATAGTTCTATATAAACCATGCATATAACGTACAATTTGTTTTGCCCTTAGGCAGTAGTTTGTGTGCAAATGTAAACTGTTGAGAATTATTATAAGCCTTTTTAAATCTAATTTTATTTGTGCGTTATCGAAGCCTTCATAAAGTAATAGTTTTAGGTTCTAAGTAAATTTCAATATAGCTTGAGTAATTTTAGTTTTAGTTTATTTTGTAGTCGTAACGTTTTTATTTTCCGCACAAAAGTGTCATGTGTTTTAATGTTGTATTTTAAATAAAAAAATACTTTAAACTCCATCCTAACCAATTGATTTTATATTGTTTTTTATTTTAATTTTTATATCGTAAACGTAGTGCCAATGACCCTCAGAAATCACGTAAGAAAGCTAAATGTGTAATTATATAATTGTATTCTAATTCTACTGGACAGTACAAGCAACACCTGAAGTTTTCAAAAGAAAGTTTCTTTTTAACGAGAATCTAACTTAAGCGCATATACATATATTATAAAATATGAACTATACTCTTTATATATATACACACACGAAACACAAGTATAGGCATATGGAACACACGCAGTCTAGCAGATTTATATGAAGCACACGCTGCGACTCATCGTCAGCATTAAATCTAAAAATCAAATTGAATATTCAAACCGAGGGGTCAGCACACACACACACACACACACTGTATAAAAGTTAGATCTAAAAACCATGAAGTAAGTATGTTAAATATTGTTAAATATATAGTATGTCTTGTCATGTTAGCACAGGTTCAACTGATTAGACAAAACAGGTGTATCTTGATCTATAACTAATTTAAGCGAATCTTGGCAACATGTATTATCTTTCAAGTTATTTGAACATTCTTTGCGCTGCATCAGTTCTCATTAAAGGCTAAGCATCTAAAACATTTCTGGATCGTCACTTAAGATATCAACTAAACACAATACACAACACGAAACAAAACAAAGCTTCATTACCTGATTTTTTTGAGCAACTTACAACAAAAATAGTTTATTACCGCAAAAACGAAACAAAAGACAAAATAATCTTACTAATAGAATGAATTTTGTTATGCTGTACTTAATTTGTATTATTTTTATTGGTGCTGAAAGATCATTAAGACATATATAACGATAATGATGATAATAAGAAACAACTTCAAAAAGACAAACAGTATTTAAAGAGCGAAGGAAATATGAAATATTTAATCAAAGTAGTTTGTTACATATCAGAATGCTATATGGGATAGTGGAAGATATTAAAAATATTGCTAATTTTGAAACGATTTGCAGAGAAGTTTTTATAACATTATACAAAGGTAGCAATTTTGGTATATTTTTTATGCATTTCATAGGTAAACCAAAAGTCGAGTTTATGGGCAGTACATAAATTTGAAAAATAAAAACCTTTTTAAAAATCACCCCATTTTCGAATATCATCAGCAAAGTTTTATAAAAACCAACATGCCAAAAATATATATACGAAATGATAGCAAGTCATGTTAATAAAAAGTTTACGATTAACATTGAGATCTTTGATAATAATGGATTTAAAATAAATAAGACAATGTTTGATAAACAAATGAAAAGTTCGTTTCTCTTCAAATAAAATGCAATTTATTTTCCAGCTTTCTTGCCTCATTTTATTACAATTGTCCTTCATAAACATACAGAACTCTCTGGATTATATAATTCAACAATACAGTTTTAGGAAAACTTAGCCAAAGCTACACATATCAGATACAAATATTTATATGAATAATATTAAGTATAAGGTTTATTACTGGGGGGGCGTTTTTAGAGTTATATCCCTCATTAACTTATACAACAAAATCGAACGAATATAGAGACTCTAGTACAGACTTAATCGATACAAAATATATATATGTATATATATTTACATTCTTCTACGTAGTTTGTGACTTTGGACCATTTCAGTTGTAGTTCTACGTTCGTTCGTTCGTTCATTCGTTCGTTCCTCATCTGTCTGTTTTAAAGACTTATCAGACTTATCCTTAGCTCTGTAACTCATTTTCTTTTTATACTCCGGGGAAAAAATCGATCTCTATCAAATGCAAATATGTAAAGCATTCCAAGTCCTGTGCGTTCTGAATGGGTGTCTTACTAAAAAATATATATATATACGTGTATATCTATGTAAATCTATATATTGATTCTGTTTTCGCTTTCCGTGTGTATCTGTGTATAATCACCTAATCCCTAGCCATATTCAGCTTACGGTATATCGAGTATATCTTCTTATTTTGGGCTCTGTGGCTACATCTAGGCTAAACATGTACAATATATATATGGTATAAATAGGTATTGATGTATATAAGTACTTATAGAGTTTGTACGATATGTTTGTCCTAGGGAGAAAACTTTGCAATTCGAGATACAAGATACGAGATTTGAGAGTATGCAGTTAGGGACGGTTTCTAGGTTCGTAAAGCGTTCGCACTAGTGGATAGACTAGCCGGGCATAGGGGGTGGAGTGTCTTTATATAGAGTTATACAAGAATATATATAGATGCCACTGTGCAGTAGGTAAAAAATCAAATTCCCTTTATCATTCTGAAAGCATTTCGCCAGTTATAGAACCACACCAAAATAATTTCTGCACAGTGTTGGATAAAGTTTAAATATAGATTTAGTAGGTCTCATCGGACCCACCACCGGATACACCGCACTTGGAGCGAAGGATAGCCGCAAGGCGTTGGGTGAGCGGTTCTGTTGGGGACTCGGAATCGCTGCAGGAGGCAGAGGGTACTTTGTTGCCTGAAACAAAAAGAGGTGAGAAGTTATTTATAAAATTAATTACTTTTTCAATTATTAACTAACCATTGCTCACGTCCAGGTCAGCTGCTGGAGATTCCTTCAAGCCAAAGTTCAGGCTAACGGGCACGATGTCATCCTCTTCCTCCAGCAGTAAACTGGAGTAGGAATGTGTGGTGTTGTCACTGGGTCCGCCCCCGCCGCTCGATGAATTCCTCGAGGATCCAGAATCATTATGGGAATGGGAATGAGAATGTGAGTGAGTATGTGAATGGTGGGTGTGAACTGCCAAAGCAACTGGATCCTGCCCTGCATCGTCGATGGGCAACTCAAAGTCATCGCCACTGCTGCTGCTCTCCTCTTCGCCATCCATCACATCCACGTTGTCAATCTCGTCGTCACCCCATCCATTATCCTCTTCCTCGGAACAGTTGTTGCTACTCTCGCTGCCATCGCCATCTGCATCCGCATCCACATCTCCTGCCTCATCCCCGTCAACATCCGCCTCCACATCGGAGACATGCAGATCCAGAGCCAAGTCAGGTGATGAAGATTTATTGTAGTTTTCATCGCTGTCGCTTGATGTGGCCACTAGGGTAAACAGATAGGGATTAATTGAGTGAACTGGCTGTTCATCAGTTCTCACTTACCTGCCCTCAGCTTGTCCAGGATGAGGGGATAGAACTCTTTGGCCGTGGCATTGTTAGGTTCATATTGCAGAACTAAATGTGGGAGTATAAAACCAGGATCAAGTACTTAGTTTATATGCAATGTAATATATTTTTTGTGCATTTACTTAGTTAAAAAGAATTTTGGATACTTAAAAAAGTAAGGTGACATACTTTGGTATTTGATTTTTATTATACTCACTCAATTTGCAATATTTCAATGCCTTTTTGTAGTCCTTTAGCATCACGGCGGACAGGAACTGCAGGAGAAACAAGAAACGCACAATATACAGTACGGTGCATCGCACAATACACGTTTAAGGGAATGCCATCAAATCCTTTTGAATTCCTCATAACATCTCAACAACAAAAGGCTTATATATATAGGTATACTCGTATATATCCACCTCCTCTCTCGATCTACTGGCCCACATTGTAAGGGCGGACAAAAAAAGTTGACTCTGCTGAAAGTTGAATGCGCTCGAAAGCAATTTATTAGCAATCAATAAGCTGGCCAAGTGCGCTCGGTGCCGTAATCCTTCCGAAAGGACTTTAACTTAAATCCGCAATCTCCGTTGGCAGCACAGCAATTTGCATTTGCATAAGTTCCCTACCCCAGGATCTGCATTGTTGTTGCTGTCGAGCAACAAAGGATGAAAGAACTCTTCCACTCTAAGATAATGATAATGAGTGGAACCAAATGGGGTCTGTTTTTATAGAAGATAACAGCTGTTGTTCGGAATATAGCTTCTAGGGATTAAAACTATTCGGAACTATTTCCTATATGATCTAAAATTTTTTTTATAAATAATATAATTCCAATTGCCAGCAAACTACTTAAAAACCTTTCAAAAATGTGCATATTTACTATTTTCGCTAGGAATTAAATTGTAAGGATATAAATCAGTCCAACTGGTCACCTACTTAATTGATAAGGATTAGTAGCCACCCTTTTTATATATTTTCCAACCCTAAACTTTCCCTCGTGCAGAAACAGAAACTAAAACTTTGGCTGTTTGCATGGAAACTTTGGTTGCCTCACTTGGTGGCAAGTTTAGATTTCATTTTGAGCACTTGGGTAACCTGAACTACACACTTACCTCGGCCAGAAACTCAGTGGGCGCGGATATGCTCTCGTCGGCATCTGTATACTCGGAAAGGCTTTGGCTAAGGTCCTCGCTGGAGGCGGAAGTGGGCAGACCGGAAGCGGAAGCTGCGGCTGCAGCGGCAGCGCCGTTCATTATGTTTATGTTGTTTGTCGTAGCCATCATGGTCGTAGCTACACCTGCTCCTGTTGCCCCTGTTGATGTTGCTGTTGTGGTCGAGGTGGTGGCAGGAGCACCTGCTACATTATCGTTGTCCATGTGGCCATTACTGCTGTTTGGCCTGACCGCATAGACGCCATTGCCATTCGATTTGTCCATGTAGAGGAGCTGCAAAAATTGATTTAAGTTTATGCCCTTAGGCACTCAGTTCTCTTCGAAGTACTTACGTTTGACATGATCTCCGATAGAAATTTGAAAATTTTGCAATCTTCAATTTAGCATTTTCATAGACTTGTCTGCAAATGGCAATTAGAAAAGGGGAATAAATTTGAATATCTTTTGATCTAGATTGCCAGTAACCGCAGTGCAGCAAAGGTATCGATTTCGATGGTTATCCCTAATTGGATTGCCATTGCCCCACCTTCGACCTTCAGCTTCTGGGCAAGTTTTAAGAAAAAAACCGGCAACAAAGAGCGTTGGAAATTCGTTAAATGTCAAATGCTAATTCCACTTCCGCTGGATGAGCGCAGACATTCGCTTTCCAGCTAACCGTAAAGATAAATTTAGACTAACTGCACTTAACGAATTTTAGGTACTTTAATAAATCAGATATTATAGGAAATCTTTATCTTTAATATCTTTTAGATCACAGAAGTATTTGTACTTAAGAATAAAGATTGGCAGCTGAAGAAAAAAGCACATCCTTTAGCTAGATATCTACCGAATATAATGATAATTTTGTATCTTTTTTGGCAGTGCACTTTTCCTAGTGTTTCGCACAAAAAGCGAAATTCAATGATGCGGTTGATGGTGTGTTTTTGGTGGAGAGGATTGCAGGGGGAGAATACTGCCAGCGGCTTTTCTTTGGCCAACTAGTTGAATAGGCCAACTCGACACGCGAACATACGAGTATTTGCCGGCTGTGAAAGCCAAGTGTGAGGAGGGCAAATGAGCGGAATTGTTGGCGTTCTTCGTTGGGAACGGGCGTTTAATTGGCGAGCGACATGCACCACGCCTCGAGGTATGCAATGAATTTTTCGGTTATTTATGCAGCATTTGCAGACAGCCATCGACAGTGCAGTAGTATTTGTGCGTGAGTATGTATCCGAGTGTGTGTTTGTGCGCTTGTGTGCCGGCTGTCTGCTCCTTTCAATAATTGAAAGCACCAGCAGTCAAGGACTCAAGGGCCATCATTAAAAACAATAAATTTGCTTTAATGCTCGACAGCCGAATGATTTACTCAATGGCTCTCTTTGGGTCTGGTGTGCACAGGAAGAAATTAGAGCTGCAAAATGCAATTTCGGCTTATTGCGTATAAGAACTAGGCTATATTATAATCATGAAGCCAACATTCAGAGCTTGAAAGAAGATGCCTAAAGGCATCAGTATCTAGGTCCATGGAAACTTTAAATTAGATTAATTAAGTGTTTTGCTAAAAGATATACTTATAATCTATTTATTTTTCCCTCTGCACTTTTCTTTTGCCAACAAAATCAATACCAATAATTGCAATAATAATCTTGCGACGTGCTGAAGCCATAACTGACATGGCATCTACTGCTCTTTTGCTTGTTTATTGCTGGAAATGGCCCTTAATTGTATTTTATACCCGATGCATTGAATCCTAATTGCTGGCTGGCCGTCTCTGTCACTCGGTGACGTGCTCTCTCTTTCTCTGTGTGTCTCTGCAAACAACACGTCAGTCAGTCAATTGTCTGCGATTTGTTTACTCGCCGGTTGATCCTTTCTGGCATTTCCAAATGTCAGACATGTCTGGCCCATCCTGTCACGCAACTCTATCGGAGGACTGCAGCCATATTCCCAATTGTATATATCTGTATTTCTGTTTTTTTTCGTTTGCTAATTTTCGGCCCAGACTTTTACAAGGTTGTGAAAAAAGAAAACATGTTGCCCAATGGCTGGGGCAACTGTTTTGTGGAAAAGAAAGCTTTTAAAAGTACTCTGCGAGTACTCACCATGTGCCACAATTCTCATGACAGCTTTAGTTTTTCTTTCGTAAAACCCTTTAGTTTTCCGCTCTTAAGTAGTAACTTATTTAGTAGAGCTCAATTAACACGAGTGGAAGAACTAATTTCAAAACAAGTTTTCCCTAAGAACTGATTCAGCGTTTCGAAAGTTGCTAAAGCAGTTAGAAACTAAAGTTTCTTGGTTGCCACTTGCATGATTTAAAACTAACTTAAGAAATGAGAAAGCAGTAGAATACTGTTAAGAACTAAAACATATGTTGGCTTTTCTGTCAATATTCAAGCTGCTTTTCTAGTTAATAAGTTTGTTCTGTTTTTTATAATTATATTTACAATAGAAAAGCTGCCTAATTAGTTTTTATTATTTGACACTTTAAACGCACAAATAGCGGCTATTAATCAGGCCTAAATATTGTCATTATGGCATCGATAATTTATAACTTTATTGATAGCCCCATTAATTAGTCCAAAGTGCTGCGGCCGAACTCAAATTTATGTGATTTTTTTAGCACCAGCTGCAAAATTGCCTGCAGTTTCAACGATTTGGCATGGGTACTTAATAGGAAAACTTTTTCTACGATGCGACCACAAACAGGTGCTGGGAACGTACTCAAATCATTTTCATTTGCATAATTAAAATGTCTACGGGCAAATTGAATTTCCATCGCAGAGATGGCCTGTTACCTGAGTTTAACAGGAAAACCAAACCAACCCCCTTGGGTTTGAACCAAATCTAAAGTCGGCGAACCGGAAAGTTATGTATGTGTTCTATGTATGCCACATAACGTATGTATATGCCACATATACGTACGTACGTGTGTATGTCGTATGCGTCATGGGGTCAGATGGCGGCCACAGTGCAGTAAAATTGCATAAAAAGCCATTGCTGTTACTGCAATTCGGTTGTCCAGTTTGAAAACGCGGCGAATAATTTATAACAAACACTTAAATACGACTGCGATACCAATCCCTAGCTAGACCCATTCGAATGTTTGCCAAATTGCCGGCCTGTTGGGGCTTATTTGAGCCAAAACAACATGCAATATGTAGTGGTAGTCCCATCGCTTGCCAACAACTAACCAAACTGGCCAACCGAAGTAACAGAAGCTACCGAACCGAAGGTCCTTGCCATTGGCCAGTCACAACACGGGCCGTTAATGAGTTTTCCTTTTAATAAATTTTTTAGCCGGCAAACACTGCCGGTGAGCCTATTTTGACCATGCCTATATTGATGCAGAGAGAAAAATTATATCCCTAGAACTTTTCTTGATTAACCTCGTAATCAACTTTTTAATTTAATTGTTTTTTAACATATTTTTTATTAACTGATATATAACGTCATAAAAGCATAACAGTACGTTATTTTCGAAAAGCATAATTTAATTTGGCAGATGTGACTTTTTTTCTACAAGAACCTGAAGAATTTACAACCAAATTTGATGATATTTTTTCGCTCTGTGGTGTCACTCGACAAAATGTTGACAATAAAAGCCGAATTTATGATAGAGTATAAATATGTGGGTATGTCTGACTGTACAGCCAAATGACTTTGCGAACTGTAATAACAATTCTTTTGTAAATATTTTCTTCCTTCGGCTGAAAGCGTCCAGTTTCAGTCCTTGGAAAGGACGTGGGCCAAATTGCATGATTATAATGATCGCCCTAAAAACGTTGTTATCGTTTGCTGCTATTGCAATTACGGTTTCTGCACTTTGAGCGGCTGCCAACCGTTGGCCATTTAACTGGGCCTTCGTTGCCCAAATATTACGGTAATAGTGTTCAAAGAGTACCTTTCCTTTGCTTTGACTGTTGAATATTCATCGGGAATTTGCCCCATTGAATCAATTGGCTTGTGTAAGCTGTAAAGAATTTCTATGCTTCTTTTGTAAGCACAGTGGTTAAATAAGTCTTTAAGTTTGCGTTCTATATATGCTAAAATGTTCTCATAAAATCATATTCGGGTAATAACATTGAATATTTGAGAACTTTCTCAGTAAAGTTGTATTTGGACCGCAAGGAGTTCTCAACTAGTTGTATTACCAAAAATTCAAAACATTAAAGTCTAAACTATATAAAAGAATGAAACCATTTAAAGCAACCATTTTGGGATACAAAGCCAAGCTCATATTTTAGCGCTCCTTAGGTATTATAATATGGCAAAGGAAAAGTTTTCGTAGATCCAAAAACTTGTCTATGGCAAGTTTAATTTCCACCACCCCCTAGAAACCGCCCAAGGACGGACATTGTGTTGTGTGTTCGCTGTGGTCATTGGCTTTGCATGAATTACAATCGATATTTTGGTGGATGGGGGATGGTTATCTATTCGTCTGTGTCTAAAACGAATGCGGTTTAGTTCGCCACCGAAGCGGCAAATAAGCAATTATGTTGTGTGTTACATTTCCCATACGCCGCATATCTATGACTAGCCGCCATACACGGCGTATGCGCAATATTTTCCATTTGACTGTAACTTGGCCATAACAATGCGGCTTTAGCTCGGGAATTGTTCGCATTGTATTGCAAGGCTTTTGTTTGTCGTCCCTGGCATTATATCTAAGCAGGAATTCATATATATATATATATACCATATGCAAGGTGCACTACGCCTTTCAGATGCTTTTTCTAGCCTCCACTCAGCAGTCTGTCTTCTGCCATTCATTCATTCACTCATATACTCTTTCACCGACTCACGGCGCAAAAGTCGCTCAAGTGGTAATTAAAATTATAGCAACAATGCGAAAGGCTTCTGGGCCAAGAAAACGATGAAGAGGGTGCCAAAGCCACTGGCTGACACAGAAAACGAAGGGGAAATGCTGCCTGGTTGCTGCTTGGTGTTTGTGCTGCACACACGCTAACAAGTTGCGGCTGCTTACATATTTGCTAGAAAAAGGACACACAGGACTCACACAGGCCAGCTTTGACAACTTGAAATATTTATGAGTGCCCGCCAACTCGACCCAAAGACGCTGGTGACAAGCCAAGAAGAGCCTGAAACAAAAACCAGTATAAAGCGATTGTCACACAACGGAATATACTATACTCGAATGCATTAAGTTACCAAACTGAAGAATGTAGTGCTTTAAAAGTTTTAAATACTTGTGGACTTGTCGTTTATTGATCTTCAACTAAAAATCTGACGCATTTCGGATTTGTTTTAGGATGTGCCTTTCATCTATACAGTTTTTATGTCACATGCCCTTCAATAAAATCTACCTTTTCTTCAAAAAAATTCAATTTATAATTCATTCTCTTAATTTATGATTTTCTAGAGCCTCTTATATTTACATTAACGAAATGTCACATGAAACCTCAATGGGTTAAGGCCCGCAGTGTAAGGTGAGAATTTAGAGGGGACCCGAGTTGATCGTTTAGCACATCATTAAAAATGCCTCGCTGTGCAGAAAGTTTCGAGTACTCGGCGGCACTCTCGTGTGGCAACCGTTGCCGCTCTCGAGTGGTAGAAATAAATAATTAAAATTTACAAAAATCCCAACCTGAAGAGCACACAATTCCCGCCAAGGACGAAGGTTAATGCGTACCATTCGTGATAGCGGTGATGTGGAGGCAAATCTGGCATTCATTTCACTGGCCTGCCGACAGGGCAACTTCACCTACCTTTTAAATATTAACGAGCGGTGTCTCGTCCACCTGGTTAATGCATTTCCAGCCTCTCTTGGTTTTTTTTTCTGAGCTGTAGAGCCAGCAAGTCCCAGGATTAATTAGCACAGAGTCCCAGGACTTTCGTCGAATCAAAGATTCTGCGGCGTGGGTAAAAACTAATTAACGTGTGTTTTCCCTGGCTTCTACGCAGTTGAAGCTGCAAAAATTCTTGCAAGAATTTACTCTGCACACACACAACACGAGTCCTTCGATTCTGGTTCAATGATTACGCGGTTATTTATAAAATTCGGTTGCACACTTTCTCTTTATATTTATCCAATTGACAAACAACAAGATTTACTTTTTAATACTTTGTTGCAGCGGAAAATTGAAATGTTTTTCCTCTTCGGTGAAGCGAAATTCGTTCCGCCTTTATGCGTCGCAGTTTCGCTTAATTAACAGAGTCGACGACTGAACGAAATGTCCTTTTTATACACACTTGTTCGCTTTTACCTTGCCCAAGTGGAAGCTTTTGGCTCTCTCCCGCTCTCTTTTGCCAGCTTTCTCTCGCAGTTAGCTTTGCTCTCTCGCTTTTATAAATACCCTGTATGGTATATACTGAGGTATGATATTTGAAAGATATTTTTTGAAAAAAATTGGAAGTAAATATAAAGTACATTTTTTTGACCTCATTCATTGACTTATAAAATTGGTTTTAAATATATTTTCCATTCCCAGCCCATTTTGTAAAATTAAGATTTTTTTAAATGTTTCTTTTAAATTTAAAAAGAAAGTACTTAATATTTTTAAAAATTATATTTTAGTATTTATTAATTTGTTATGGTATTTAAACCCAAGTCATTTTTTTTCTCTCTTCCCTCAAAAGCTCAACTCTCACCGTATCCAAGCTCTCTCTCTCTCTCTATCTCTCTTTACATCTCTCTGCGTTACGTTACAGAAGGAAAACAAAACAAACAACAGAGCAGAGCGGATCCGGAAATGGTGCAGGCCAGAGACTGATGGCCGACTGATTGTGGCCATGTTGTCTGCCCTCCAACTGCATGTGTATTTGTGTACTTGCAAAGGTGTATCTGTGTATCTGTGCGGGAGTGGGTGTTCATGTAACGCGAATGGCAAGTCAGCTGGGAAAAATACTATGCAGAGCGTACGCATCGGGAGCGGAGCGAGAGATTTTTGCGGCCCATTGAGTGTGAATTAAGAGATGCCGGCTTAGTGCAAAACCATATCCATACATATATGGTTTTTTCTTCTCATCAACAGTATGTGGATGCATGTATGCCCTCGAGTGGCGGATGCCAGTGGCAGCTCAACGAGGATGGATGCTGGGTACTGGGAAACTCCTACGAGATTTCTGTATTTCGCATATCAGCATTTTTGTGGCATGCTTTTGGGGGCACGAACAAAGTGAATTGCCCTGGTATTGGTGCAAGTCAGCGGCAATATGATTTTTAATCTGAATATTAAATATTGCGGTGTGCTATGCAAATAATGGCAAAATATGAAATTCCCCGTCGAGCGTTTAAAAAATTTTTCCAATTGGTTGTCCTTCAAATAGGGAAAATATACCTAGGGAATAGGCTAAATATATATTTAAATATTTTTTACCTTTTAGTTAATTTAAAAAATAAAGACTTTAAGAGCTTAAGTTTCAAGGCAAATACCCATAAACAATTCTTCATAAGCTGTACTTACATTTGCTGTCTCTTATAAGCTGAATTAATGGGATTTTCCTAATTTTTTCTTGCCAACATAATTCTCTGGGCGGCCATTAGATTGTCAGCAGAAAAGTGTGCTACAAAATATTTTAGTTATTCAAATATTTTCACTTTTTCCATTTCCCTTTTCTATCATTTAAGCGGCAGTGCAAAAAAACGTCGTTCCAGTCAGCAAGTCCTTATGAATGCAAACTTGCATTTGTTTTCCGAAAAAGGGAAATTTACGTTGGCAGTTGCAATCCCATTTTGCGTGTTTCAGGGGATTTCCACACGATTTCCTGTTCGCCACGGACACATTTGCCACCCCACTAACACCCATCTGCAAAGACCACGTCGTTTGCACGTGGTAAATGAAAACAGGTTTGACTCTGCTTTATATATAAAAAATTTATTGCGTTTAACTTTGCGTTGGGGGGTGAAGGGAGTAGAATGAACGAGTTTTTCATGCTTAACGGCATGCCAAAAGGTGGGATTCTTAGCTCTAAATGGGTTAATCCTAGAGTTGGATGAATCGCGTTGATATGTCAGCTGCTTGGTTCGTTGGTATCGACTTACGATCTAAACTTAAAAGCTAGCGATATGTTGATTTGGTTGCTTGCAATCGTTTTTCAAATGTACAATTAGTTGCTGAAACCGAAAACTACAGAGATAATACAAATAATCCGATCTGATCTTAAGTCCCGAAAAACTTTAAACAACATTACTTTTCATGAGAGTTTCAAATTTGTGTTTTTAAAATCTCAAAGGCTTAAGAATCACTTTCGAATATCTTAGAAATAAAATTAGAATACCGATAACTAGTTCATACTCATTTCATCCTTTTCATTTTGTATGCAAATGGATGAGCTTACAAACTATGCAAATATCAAGGATTCCAATTCCCACGTAAATCTTTCATTCGAATCTTTCGATAGGTATCGTTTGGATGGCCTAGCAGTTCATGTAATTTGGCGCCTCTTCTTCCGCCTTGCAGTCCTTTTCAGGGGCAATGTCACCTACATTCTGATAGACCTCGGCTTGAACCTCGATGCTGCCCACCTGTGGACACGGAACAGCAATCTGTTTGGGCTTGAAGGAGCTGCATCCGCTGGTGGAGTTACTCTTGGTCAGCTTGCCATAGATGATGTTCGATCGCTCGTTCAGTTTGATCGGCTGCAGGGTGACTCCGTTCTGGTTTTGGTAGTGTTGCGTCTCCGCCTGCTCTTTGGCCTCCATGATGGTGTTCAGGTAGTTGCTACTCTGGGATCCGGCCAGCGGCTGACTGCCGTACACTGGGATGTTCGAGGGGAACATCTGGTAGTGCTCGGATCCCGTGGGACTAGTTGGTGTGTTCAAACGCTGGCAACTGGACATGGGCGAGGGGAATACAATTTGGTGGCGCTCATCGCCGGGCGTTGAGCTTGGTGTGAAAACGGGTCTCGGTGGTGGTGGAATCATGTAGTTGTCCATCATCCGGCAGTGCGGAAAGCGACGCTCCTCGTGATCCGAGTGGGTTCCCGAATCTCCCAGAGAGGCACCACTGCAGTTGCTACCAGTGCTCAGTCTTCCCGACGAGGAACTCGAGCTGGAGACACTCTGCAGGCTCAATGAACTGATGGGACGACCTGCTCCTACGCTAGAGCTAACACCTCCGGTCGACTTGAAGCTGCAGCTAGTGGCTATCGAGGACTTTGTCTCATCCAGCAGACTGTCGTTTCCGTTTCCTCCAGGCGTCTTTGACCGCGAAAAGAATTTCTTGATCCGCTCGAAAGGAGTTTCACGCTTCAGATGAGTCTTCACCTGCTCCTGGATACGTTCATATTCTCGACGCAGCTGATCGATCTGATCCTGCTTCTCCCGGAAACTCTGTTGCACATCATTTCGATGCTTCCATCGCTCCACTAGCAGCTCCACATCCCGAATAGATAGCACATTGTTTTTAAAGTCGTGCATAATCTCGGCCAGCTCATCGTCAGCATTAGATCGTGTGTGACTGGCGGCGGAGGCATCGCTGGCACTGCGCTTGAGGGTTCCATAGGTAGGCTGCCTATTTGTGCAACGACTCATTCGGAGGGGCTCCTCTACAGGCCTATTCGATGGCTGGAACAGATAGTTGCCATCATCTTGGACCACTGGCACATTGGATGGCTGCAGAACATAGTCGTTGCCCAGCTGGTTTTCCAATAACTGTGAGCACTCCTGGCTGAATTTGTCGGTCTGGTAGAGTGGTGAAGCATCCACTTCGTCGAGGGATTTGCTCTGTTCCTTCAGATCCTTTGGTTGATTGTTCTGTTCTTTGGACTGATAATAAGGTGGCTCATTGATCCTTAGCTCATTCGTGGTCTTTTCCGGACCGGGTTGGCTACCAGCCTCAGGAAGTTTCTTTTCGGATTCAACCTTCTTTTCGGCAACGGAAGCCTGCAGGTTTTCATCTTCAGTTTCTACACTAATGTAGTTGAGATTCGAGATAGCAAGGGTCTCCGTTTTGGGCCTCACTTCGGGTGTATTCTCCCGCTCTGATCCGCTGGACATCTCCATGTACTCCGTTGCTGGCAGTTGCTTCGGGGGCTTGCAGGTCTTTCCCTTACCGGGAACAGCTTCAATCACCACATTGGCATTGGGTTTGGGGCTGCTATCACCCGGTGGAGTTACGCCCTTGAAGTAGTGGTACATTGTGGTTAGTTCATGGAACTCTGCAAAACTGACAATGTTCTGTGCCAGCTTGTGGTGACCCTCCTGTTCGGCCAACTCGGCTGGCGTACGTCCAGCGCAGTTTCTTACGCCGCAGGCAGTGTCGCCACCGGGACATTCCATCAGCTGGATGCAGAGGCGATTTAGACCCCACCTAGCTGCGAAGTGCAGCAGTGTGGGATACTCCTCCGGACTGGACTCCAGTCGAGTGAAGAAGTGGGGCTGACGCTCGCTTGGACCACTCAGCAGGTGGAAATTGGGTGGCATATTCCGCTGGAAGCACTGCAATAAATGCTGATCGAGGGCATCATGTTCGACAGGCCCAATTCCCAGAGCATGGCACATAAACTCAATTGGGGAGTCCTCAATCCGCAGCAATTGCTCCAGCTCTCGCAGACGGCTTTCACACTTAATAGGCCTAGCACCTAGACTTTTGTTATTCTTCTCGATGCGGATCTCGATCATGGTAGAGATCTCCATGCAAGCCTCCGGTATATTGAACTGGAGGGTATAGGGATTGCGACACTTGAAGTTACGCAGCTCAATCAGCTCTCCGGATTTCTCTACCAGCAATTTCAAAGTGTCGTTCTTCTCCAGCGGCTCAGCCAGTAAGGCTACAACTTTGTTTTGGCCCAGCTTAACCTTCTTGGGCAGCACTGTGAATCCCTCGGTGCAGCTGGAGAAGCTACGCGAGAGGCCACCACCTCCTCCACCAGAGTTATCATGGCACGGAGGTCGCTGGCACAAGGCTCGTCCTAGAATATCAGTGGCAATGCCAAGGATATTGCTGATCTGGACCTGGTCATTATCGCGAACCACACATCGCCGCCACTTGTAGTAACTGGGGAGCGCCGACTTGTGCATCTCCTTCACCTTATCCTCGCTCACATCCAGCAAGATGGCCAGGACCTTCTCCACCCGAATAATGGCCGACAGTTGGGTCATCAGGAAACTGTGAGGGAGGGCCAACAAGGCGGGACACAGGATCACAATCTGTAACGCTGTGTTCTGGTACTTTTGGGCAATCTCCTCGCTGAAGGGACCATCGTCAATTTTTATGTGCAGAAAACTGCAAAGGAGTAATGAAAAGATAGGAAAAAGTTAGACAAAATTCTTAGTTTAGTTACTAATTTTATTTAACAAATTAATTAATTCATTAATTCGAAACTTACTTGAATGGTTTCCGTCCGCGCTGTTTGGTGATCTTGTCGAAGTGGTTCTTCAGGAAAGTGGCCCGCAGATAGGCGCGCTCGCTATGCTTGGCGGTGATGATCAGTATGTCGTCCATGTTGTAGCCGGAGGGACCCAGGAATCCGGATGCACTCGCTCCACTTGCGTTGTTCACGTTGCCGCAGTTGTCTGCAAAATGAGCATAAAAGATCGTAGGACGGTCAGTGAAAATGACTCGAAAACTCGAATAGCTCCGCTTCGGAGGAGTTGCTGATAAGAAACCAATGGCCCAAGGCGACCCCCTGATTAATCTCCACTCCTATATATATACAGAAACATGAGTGTGTCTGTATGTCTGTGATAAATAATGTGTTTACTTAGGATTTGACCAGTTTGATTTGCGACCTCTTCAAATAGAACCTACTCCCGGAACATTTTTGTTTGGTTTCACTTCGTGGAATTTGACTTTAAGGGCCATTCAAGCGCCGCTATTATTCAATATGCGATAATCAAGGACGCATTGAGCAAGTGTGTGCATACCTAAGTGAGGCACTGTGTCACCTGAATCACATTTTAGCTTATCTCTGTAGAGTCAGGTATTTGGGAATGGTTTTGATAAAGAGTCAGATCTTGATGTTGATAGTGAAGTAAGATATGCGGTATGCCGCTTGTGTTTTTAAAGAAGTCATTGTGCAACTTTATGTAAAAATTATTTTAAAATCATCACCATAATGTATTACACTTCATTCACTTTTCCAACATATTTCACACTCACTCACAAATTGTAATCCCAAAGTATTATGTTTGGATCAGAATGTTGTAATCTTTCATAGAACTTTCCCAACACTTGAGGAATTCAAAGATAATGTCAGGAATCTATTCAGCTTTCCACACACCCACATTCCGCAGTGACAAACTCATCGCGACTGACCAAAGATACATAGTTGGATTTGGATTTTAGTGGAAGCAAAACAAAAGATCTTCAGATGGAACTAAATAAAACAAAATAAATTACTACTCTCCCGTTTTAGCCAAATAAATTAGGCCGGACTAATCAGTTGTTGTCCCAACGACATTTTCCCTGCGTCGGCTTCAGGTTGCCCCATAAATTCAGTCACGTTTAGAGCATTTAAATAAATCTCCTCAGAGCAAAACTCACAAGCACTCGAATGACGATGAAGATGATGATGATGCTGATGCTGATGCTGTTGCACACACGGACATGAAAAGTGGAGACAAAAAGCGATGCTATCTCCTGGCCAAACCAAAATCCACTGTTGCATTTGCCAGAATCTGAACTTCTTGACACCCACAAATGGCGGCGACTCTGCTCTTTCTTCCTGTCGTCTTATACTTTTTGCTTTCTGTTTCTCTGCTTTTCCTGCCCGAAAGAGATTCCCCTTCCTGCAGCTGGTGCTCATTATAAGGCAAAGGAACTGGAACTGGAACTCAACTCTATATGATGTGGAAATACAAAAATAAAAGGGGATATATTTTGCTTCATTTCATTTTTGCCTCTTATTTTCATAAGCAAAATTTTGTCAAATTTTATTTGATGCCTAAAAAACCGCCAGTGACAACATAATTAAGTGGAACTGTGGGTAGTTTCCGAAAGCTTTGCTTTGGCCCTTTTCAGTGATTAATTACTGTGACCGAATCAAAGTTTATCCTTTCCGCATGCACAGAGAAAAAAATGTTTAAAAAAATGGGTACTTTTAAATCTTGAAAGCAGCTAATATTAGTTAGATCTTTAGAAGGGTGGATGAATGACCTCATTGCTGAGAGTATATCAACGAAATTTAATTTTGGAATTATTTAAATTCAACTTCTATCCGTCCCTGGGCCCACTTTTGTTTTGAGTTGTTGATCCTTCTCCATCGACTTTGGCCTTAATGGCTTTTGTTTCATTTCAGTTTTGCAAACTTTGATTTTGTGACGGAGGAGGAATCCTCGTCCTCGTCGCTGTAGCTGCATTGAAATTTATTTCTCAATTACATGGCAGACGACAGTTTTGCGACAGCAACGCGGCTGTTGAAAATTGCAGAATGAAGGGAATTGGAATGAAAAGCGCAGTCTGACATTGAGTTGCTCGGTGAACTATATATTCTCGAATGGCTGAGTGCTGGAACATCTGGTAATTGTTAAATCGCTTCGACTTTTATTTTTTTTGGGGAAGACAAAATGCTCCCTTTGTTCATCATCTTTGTGTTGCTTTGTTTCGTTGCTTCATTTGCAATTTGCAAATACTACTCAGGGTTTTCGGCTGTGATCGATCACAATTTAATGGACTTCGTATCGCCCAGCTGCATCCCCGATTCCCAGCGAGAACTCACTCATCTCCATGTCCACATAATCCTCTTCCATCGACTGCCTGCGCTGGCCCGAGGCGCAGCTAAAGAGGCGACAACTGCCCTTCGCTGGCATTTCCACTTCGAATTTCGATTTCTTCGTTTTCGATTTTTGCTTAAAAATTTAAATACAAAATAAAAACACAATGTTTTTAATTGTTAAGCGCCGCGAACCGAGTCGAACATTGCGCTAATTGTCGTCGTCGCAGCATCCACATTTCGAATGGAACTGCTCGACCCACAATTGTGGGCCAGTGGTTTGACCCACCGCAAATCATCAGCGTCTGCCTAGGATTATGCCTTTAATTAATTGATTAAAACTAACGCTGAGAGTGGGCAGCTGTGGAATCTGGTTTCATTCGGTTCGAAAAGAGTTAGAGCTATAAAGCATAGATTGAGTTATCTTAACGATTGTAAATGTCTGGGCAAGTTGAAATTGTTATCTGTGATGTCAGGGCATAAGTTATATTTCAAAAGCTAAAAGATTAAACCATCTTATTTTGCTACCAAAGAGTATATATTGTTTACAAATAGAAAAAATCAGAAAACCAACCGTTTTCCATGAAATCCCATTATGTTGACTTCGAAGTGGATGCTTAAAAGAAGAGCCCCCATATCGTATATATATTCCCAAATAATTCATCAAAAATGTTCTTATAAGTGAATTTAGCCCAAAGCTCGCTTGATTTTTATGATGATGTGTGGGGAGTGGTAAAATGCAGAGGGGATATCCAAACATTTTTTTTTGGGGAGAGAAAATTTGAATAAATGCCAACCTCTGATGGTGACATTTTTTGTATGTTTTTGTTTTTTTTAGCAAGAGACATAAATCAACGAAAGGCAACCAACACAGAAATATAAATGCGGGATTAAATGGACTGAGGCCACGAAAAGCGGAACGCAATGGGTTAAGAGTGGGGAGCGGGGGGACTTTTTGGCGGACATGGGACAGGGGCCAGGGGCCAGGGGCCACCGGACGACACACAAATTAACCCAACCCCTCGAGAGTCAAACAAACAAACAAACAGCAAATAACTCAAAATGTTCACTTGCATGTGGATACATACCACAACAATTATCATTTAATTATGTCAACTGTAACTTAATTATGCGCATATATCTTTTAATTTGAGACCAGTTTTCCACTTGGATTTGGTTAATTGTCAACTTCCTTATGAGATTGCAGCATCGCCATTTATATAGTACTTTATCAGAGATAAATCCTTTCTCACAAAAGTTGTGGTACTGCCCTTCTCTGCCTCCCCGAGTAACCCAAATTCCAAATTCCCCAAGAGAAATCGCCGTTCTCGCAGAGATTTGTATTAATTTAGATTTAGTTTGCACTAGGCATAAATCATAAGTGATTTAAATTGTTTTAGTTCTAGTTTCGGTGCCATGTTTCCAGCTATGCTTACCCCCCAGCCCAAACCCCCACAGATCGTTAAATGGAAATTGCTGTTCTCATTGTCTCTCAGTTTCCCTGCCACAAAGTGTGAGAATTTCTGACAGCTGGACACCGGGGGCAATATGCTGGATGGGGCAGTGGCAGGGGCAAATGGACGCAGTCATTTATGAAATTGGGAGTGGGGATGGTCAGTCACAACGATTATAAATGACATTGCATTTGATTTGGCTCTCTGTCTCTGAATAGGCCTGCATTTGTCTCTCATTTCTGAAGGCAATCTGTGTGTTTTGGATTTTTTTTGGGTTCGGAAGAGGTCAGTGAATTGGACAATGTCCGGATTAATGGCAGCCCGGGGCTTCTGAATGCTTCAATTAAGTGAAAGATATGCTCGAGAGAATGTTGGTGAAAATAAAAGTGCATGTTTATATTTATAGCCTCCAAGTTAAGGATATTTTCCCTAAATTTTAAGTATATACAAAGGCCAAGGTATACATTTTTCACAGAACTACCAGAACTCCATAAAAACGACCTCGTTTTTTCCAGAAAGACTTAATAGAGCGCACTCGATATGACCCAGTAAATGAGGAAATTTATTTTCTCATTGAAACGTCTAATAATGAAAACATTTAAAAACCCATCATAAAATAGTGCATCGAAAGGGGCTTTCCACCACCTCCCTTTTCAAGCATATTGCCCCAAAACCAACCAACGAGGAATTTCCCGCTAAAAGCAAACATAAACAACATTTTGAAATTTCACTTTCAGCCCTAAATAGCGAAACAGCAAAAAGAAACTATAGCTACAAGAAAAATGAGGCATCGAACCGTTTTCCAAGCCATAAACATAAGGAAAACAAATACTAAAGAAGGCCGAATGGCAGGGGAAAATTCTGTGGATGGGGTGGTAGCAACGTTTTTACGCTGCATGCCGCGTCATGGAAAATGAGGCAAAGGCATGCAGCACCCAGCTATCCCCCTGGCCAAAGAGCGAATATAGATTTCCACGCAGACTTATAAACTCCAGAGATATGGTAATGCGAAATAGGAGATGGCAATCAAAATCCGAACAAGTGAATAAAAAAACCCAAAGGAAGTCGAAGTTCATAAAAGGCAATCGAGTACTAGACACTAAACTCCATAAAGTTGGATCGTTAGATGGGCCTTGACATAAGCCAAGTTTTAAAAATGCATAATGCATTTTAATGCAGTTTTTAGTGAATTGTAAACAACTGGGAGGTCCCTGGTAAAAGTTCCTCATATCTGATGTTATTTTTGACGTTTCTGACATTAATGTTTTGTTATTCCGAGCTGTCGCTGTCATAAAAGGGCTTGTGCTGCCCCGGACTTGGTTGGGGAATGTCAGAGATATAGTATGTGCATATATCCCGACTCCCACACACACTCACACTCACACACATGTTTGCCTCCACCAATTCC